GGAACTGGGCTCTCTCCTCCAACAAGCCACAGAGAACCCTCTCACCTTGAGGAGGGGTCTCCCTCCTCCTGGACCATCTGCTCCTCAGTGGGTGCTGCTCTGAGGAAGCAGAGGAGAGTGTGGGAGAAGATAAAAGAGAAAAATTAAACCCTTCCTGAAAGTTTCATCAAAGGCCTGTTTGTGGTGCCGAGGGGAATGCTGGAATGCTGGAATGCTGCCTTACCTTCACACAAACTTCATTCCTAACCCCCACCTCATTATTTCCCAGCATCATCCCCGATTTTGGCAGCTCAGAGAGACGAGCTCATGATTTGCTTTCTTCTGTGCCTGATCAAAACACTAAACATGGGTGTTTATGTCCCTCACATCACCCTGAGTCTTCGTGCAGGAAATTTAGCTTTGCTTGAGGGGGAAAAATAGTAATAAATAGTAATATTAGTCCTGTGATCCCTTCACTATTCAGGACATGAAGCTTCTCAGACATTTCAGAGTCTCTGAAAACATTGAACGAAAAGCCTGAGATCAAATAACTCCAACAGGAGCCCCTTGGATGTTCTGAAAGCTGCACATGGCTGCTGCCATCATTAAATTGAGCCAGGGTTTCATTAATATCTTGGGAACAGGGATCCACTCCTCACCCTTTCACACGATTTGAAAAGACTGTGGTTACCTTTGGATTTTTAAGAAGAAGTAATTTTCTTTACTCACAGGGAGTAAAATTGCAGAATCTTATTCCACATGGGGCCATTTCTGTGACATCAGTGGCTGGAACCTGATGGCCAGACACCCCAAAACCATGTCCAGACACCCAAAAACAACAGCCAGGCATCCCAAAACTATGGCCAGACACCCCAAAACAACAGCCAGGCATCCCAAAACCATGGCCAGACACCCCCCAACCATGGCCAGGCATCCCAAAACTATGGCCAGGCATCCCAAAACCATGACCAGACACCCCAAAACCATGGTCAGGCATCCCAAACAGCCTGGGAGAGTTACAGATGTATCCACAAATCATGGAATCATGGAGTGGTTTAGGTTGGAAGGGACCTTAAAGCCCATCCAGTGCCACCCCTGCCATGGGCAGGGACACCTCCCACCAGCCCAGGTTGCTCCAAGCCCCGTCCAACCTGGCCTGGGACATTCCAGGGCTGGGAAGCCTCTGGGCTCTCTGGATTTGCTGACTGGCATTCCTGCTGGTGTTCCAAGCCTGCCTTGGGCAGTGGTTCCCAAACTCTGTGCTCTGAACATTTGTTCCTCCCCAGACTTTTGATTTCCTTTCTGGAAGAGCAGTTGTCAGGCCGGGCTTGTTTTGGTTTCCAAAAGCTGACACCAGAAGAACTTTCCCATTCTGTTTGATTGGAATATAAATATGGATGTGTTCTGTCCTAAATATTTCATGGGCAAAAGCTGTATTTTTTAAGGCTCACCTTAGTGGCACAGCAGTACTTCCCCCTCCTCCACTTCCCTGCCCAGGGGGGTTTGCACTGCTGGAAGTGCTAAAAGCACTTTGCTGAGCCCCTGCTCCCATGGGACCTTCCACTGGGAAACATCCCTGGGACAGCTGGAGAGGGAATGTGAGAATGGATCTTTATAACCCAAGTCCCTGCTTGCTTCCTTCCTGTCTTCACCCAGCAAAGTCTCTCCTTTTCCCTGGATGCTGAGTGTTCCTGGTGAACAGCAGGGGATGAAACCTTCCCCTTCCATGTTCATTCCACGGGGCAGGACCTTGAATGCCCCGAGCTCGTGCTCTCCCTGGATGCCAGAAGAGCTGTCAGGGAGGCCCAGCATCTCTGTGTATTATCCCCGAGGGAATAAAAGGGAAATCCTGGATTTGGATGGCACTTTGGAAGTGAGAGATGCCAAGGAAAGCCCCTGGGAGCTGGATTGGTCCCTGTCCTTCCCTGGAGCAGTGGGCACCTTGGAGGGTGCTGCTGGCAGGGATCTGCACTTCCCCACGAGTTTCTCACTCAGCCTCCTTGGGGGGCTTCCCAAAGCTGCCAGAGAAGAATCCAGGCCTGGGGATTCCCATCCCAACACCCTTCTTACCCATGTTAACCCAGCCTAGGGCTGTGCTCTGCTTTGTGTGCCTGGAATGGAGCTTGGCACTGGGAAGGGCTGGATCCCCCTTTTCTCTGGGGCTGGGCTCTCTCCCCTGGTGCCTGGTGGTCTGGCTTGCTCCATGTGGATTGATGGTGTACCTGGAATGCTCACAGGAGGACAACCCCCCTGGGGAAGCAGCATCCACGTCCTGTGGTGCTCCAGGAGGATGCACAGACAGCCAGGCTCGGTGGGACCTTCCCACCACAACATGGGATCCAGGCAATGGATCGTGGGAGAACTGTTTCTGCTGGGGAAAACATGGACTTCTCAAACTTCCCTTCTGCATAGAGCTGGGTCTGGTTTTTCCTTCCCAGCAGCTGCTCAGAAGTACCTTGAGCAGCTCCACAGATGGTGTTCACAGCTCCAGATGCTTCACATCAGGACGACTCAGTCCTGCCCAGGCTGAGCCCAGAGGGATGGAGCCTGAGCCCAGGATGTCATTCCAAGGCTGCCTTTCCCAGTGCCCTGACAGTCCTGGGCCACTGAAAGGCAGGGATGAGGTGTCAGTGATGCTGGAAACCCACAGACATTTCTGTCAGTTCTGCAGGGCCGGACACTTTGATCCTTTGTGCTCTCAGATTCCCACATGGAGGCTCATTCCAGCACGAGGAAGAGCAAAAAACTGCTCCTTAAAGAAGAAAGGATGAGGGAAGATAAAGAACCTCAAAGCAGGAGCCATTGCTCGAGATCTGGAGAGGAACATGAAACTCTGAGGTGGAATCTGCTCTTAAAACCTCCGAAGGCTTTCCAGGGAGAACACATTTATCTCCTGGACAATGGGGCTCCACGATTTCCCACCTCATGCCAGGGAAATATCCAACAAAAGCCACGGGCTTGAACAGGCACACTTGTTGCTTCATGGTTTCAGATCTCTCCATGGGACCAGCAGGAAAACAGGGTCTATTGTGAGATCTCTGACACTGAAAGTTTTGTGTCACCTCAGGAAACTTTTTCAAATACTTTGTGCCCTCAAAGGGGATCTGGAGGTTCAGTGGCAGTTTGGAGATGACACATTAGGAACTGGCCTCAAAGTCTTGTCTCTGTCAGTGGTTTTTAAGATTAATCCAAAGCCTGTAATGAATTCCTGTCTGTGCACTGCAGTTGGAGGGAATAAGGGAACGAACCCAATAACTAATCAAAGGCCCTGTGGGGGTGTGGGAGGACACCACGAGCACGACTACAAAGCTTTTCGTGTCTCTCTGATCATCCCTGGATTTGAATTGCTGCAAGAGGCACGAAGCTGTCCCTTGGCTGAGCACGAGGTGCCACCAGAGCAGACCCACAGACTGGTCTGTCCCTCACCTGCTGCTGCAGGAGCCAGGTATTTCTGGGGCAGCCTCTTCCTCAGGAATTTCTTCCTGGAAAGGGTGGTCAGGCATTGGAAGGGGCAGGGATAGGTGGGATATTGGGAAAGAATTCTTGGCTGGGAAGGTGGGGAGGCCCTGGCCCAGGTTGCCCAGAGAAGCTGTGGCTGCCCCTGGATCCCTGAAGTGTCCAGCCAGTTGGAGCAACCTTGGCTGTGGAAGGTTTGTCCCTGCCCCTGGCAGGGGTGGCACTGGATGGCTTTGAGGTCCCTTCCATCCCAAACCATTCTGGAATTCTATGATTCTTTCCCTGACTGCTTGACTTGATTCCTTCCACTGACACCAACACAAACCATGTCAGTGCAAAGCTGGGGGTACAGAGGAAAATAAGATTTCTCAAATCTGAGCACTGATTTGATTGAATAAATTGGTGTCTCTTTGACTTATTAAACCAACTTCTGAGAACCAGCTTGTTCTAAGAACTGGCCAGTGGCCCAGTGGCACTGAGCTGATGGAGCAGGGGGCAAATCCAGTGTTGGACTGAGCCCCCAGCTGGAGTGATCCCTGTGGACACTCCAGGGGAAGCTGATCTTAGTTTTTCAGTGATATATAACCAATTCTACCCCTTTTGTAACTATGAGCCTGCTTCTTCTTGCTTGCAAATTTACAGTTCTCTAGAATTATAATAAAATTCCCAATCTTACATGTACATATAAAATACAGCCTTCCTAGTGCACTACCCAGGTGTCAGGTAGTTGCTGCATAAATGAATTTAAAAAGCATTTAATGAACCACTTGTATTTATAATTTGAACCAGAGAAAACCAGCAAAACAGAGGTTTGGATCCCAACCAGCCCCACGCTCTGTGAGCAGGGCACACACTGTGCTGCTCCCCCAGACCTGCTCCCAAAACACAGCTCACCTGCAATCTGCATTTATAGCTCACCATTTCTGCAGGATGGGGTCAGACACTCATTTGATCAGTGGCATCTGAATTTCCCAGGAAGGCAGCTCCCTCGTTTTGCAGCGTTTATGGACTTTGCAGGGATAACAGGTGGGAAGCACTGAGTGACCCCTCATTGAAATCCGAGCAGGGATTTGAAATGTCAGGGTGGTTTGTGCTGAAACACAGGGAAAAAACATGACATTTGGAACGACTGAGGCCATCACCATATTTCTGCCTTGGGCAAGTCAGGGTGAACTTTCCACCCGTGGAGCCAAACCAGCCTGAGCCCTGCTGGGAGAGCCGGGTGGGCACGGCACTGGCACCGGGAACTGGGAGAGGGGGAGCCAGGCTGGAGGAGTCCTGGAGCATCCTGCTCTAGTGGGAGGTGTCCCTGCACTTGGGAGTCAGGTGATGATGGGTGAGATGTACACATGGACATCAGGAGGGGGCTGAATTATCACAGAATCACGGGGTGGGTTGGGTTGGAAGGGACCTTCAAGCCCCTCCAGTTCCAGCCCCTGCCATGGGTGAGACACCTTCCACTGGCCCAGGGAGAGTCTTCAGCCTGTGAAAGGGAACACTGGAAAAGCAGCAGTTTGGTTGAATGCTGGGAAGAGACAAATGATTTGTCCCTGCTTTGTTCCCAGGAGAGGATGGACAGTCCTGGATCAGCCCCTCGGTGCCGACAGCGCTTCCTGTGGAGATCAGAGCAATGAACAACTGGGCACTGCTGGAGCAGCAGGGAAACCTCTCCTGGGGGATGTGGAGGTGAGCATGTCACCAAGGGACAGGATTTAAAGAGAACCTGGCAGTAAACTGTCACTGGTAAATCCAAACCAGCATCAAATTCCATGGACTGTGGTTACAGAGGGAGGCATGGACAATAACAGTGGCAGTGGTGGCCTGGAGGTAGTTTGGGCTGGAGCAGCCCCAGGTGTTGGGGAGTCCCCCTCCCTGTGCCCAATGCATGGCCTGCAAGTCTCCAGAAGGGGGGGATTTTGTGTCTACTTTCTTTCTAAAAGAAGTTTAATTAATCACTGACTCATCCTTTAATTAGAGATGCTGTTGCCATTGTCTGGACTACTCCTGGCTCTGCCTGAGGAATTATCCCTGTGTACACTCCCTGCCTTTAAACCATTATTAATGGCAGGATTTACACACCTCTCTCAATAACCCACTGCTTCTCAATCCTTTCACTCTCTGGACTTTGAAGGTTTGGCTCTGCTGAGCAGCCTAATAAAGGGGCACAGGGAGATGGAACTCACTCATTAATAATTTGTGATGGGCTCTGCTCAGCAGCCGAACACCAAGATCTGCAGAAAAGTTGTGAGACAGAATCCAAGCTGGCCTTTGATTTAATCAGGAGCTGGGATGCTCCAGGGCATCCTGTGGAGAGACAAAGCCCAGGTGCTCTGTCTGAACGTGGGGTTGGGAAATACCCCCATGAGAGCCCAGCTCCCTGAGAGCCCCCAGAGACACTGGGGGTGGTGTGGGAGTGGGTTACAGCTGGTTGGCAATAGTAGGAGTTGCTTTCCTGATCCAAAAATCACATGGGTGGCCTTCTGTAGTGTGGCTGAAAAAACCTGGCTACCAGGGCCTGGGATCCAGTGGCATCAGAGCTGCTCAGGGACAGGGGATTGGGAAGGGATGATGTGGGGTTTCAGCTGGGCTTGGGAGACTGTGAGAGGCCATGGGCAGAGGAATGGCTTCCCACTGCCAGAGGGCAGGGAGAGATGGGATAGTGGGAAGGAATTCTTGGCTGGGAGGGTGGGGAGGCCCTGGCACAGGTTGCCCAGAGAAGCTGTGGCTGCCCCTGGATCCCTGGGAGTGTCCAAGGCCAGGTTGGAGCAACCTGGGACAGTGGAAGGTGTCCCTGCCCATGGAGGGGGTGGAATAAGATGGTTTTTAAGGTCCCTCCCAACCCAAACCATTCCAGGATTCCATGATTCTGTTGAGGAAAGGCCAGTTTTCCTTGATGGACTTCTCTGTTTAATAGTAAAAAGTTTTACATTCTTGTAATTAGTGGCCCAAACTTGTGTTTCAGAGTGAATCATTTAAGAGCTGACTAAAACAAGTGTTTGCCTTCAGAATCTCATCTCAGCTGCCAGCTCTGGCTCCTCCATTCCCCAGCAGGATAATGACCCCAGAATTAGCAACCCTCCTGCTTGTGCAGTCCAGTCACTCACTCCCAGGCAATTACTCTCCACTGTGGATTCAGGAGGAGAAGAATACAAATGGAATGTGTGACCTGAAGGGCAGAGGGGAAGGAGTGTGTTTGTTTTATGTTAAAAGCAAAGAGCTCCCAGTCCTCCTGGCAGCTGTGCCTGGAGAGGACGTGCATCCCAACAGCACCATCATGGCCTGGCATCTCTCCCCCAGTCCTGCTCTGTCTGTTCTCTGGAAATCCTGGGCTGCCTGGAGCAGGTCCTGTGCTGGAATTAAACATTATTCAGATATTGGGAAGGAATTCCTGGCTGGGAGGGTGGGCAGGCCCTGGCCCAGGTTGCCCAGAGAAGCTGTGGCTGCCCCTGGATCCCTGGAAGTGTCCAAGGCCAGGTTGGAGCAACCTGGGCTGGTGGAAGGTGTCCCTGCCCATGGCAGGGGTGGCACTGGATGGGCTTTGAGGTCCCTTCCAACCCAAACCATTCCAGGATTCCATGAGTGCACACAACCCACATTTTGCAAGGTTTCATTGTGTTAATGAGCACTGAGATAATTGGCCTGGATTTGCAATGCCCAGTGTAAATCCCCAGGGATTCTGGCAGGGTTTTTGTGCCAGCCTCCCACAGGCCCCGGGGGCAGCAGGGACAGCCATGATCCCTGGGGGGGGTGTCATGGCCTGGGCTCTTTCACAGGAAGGAATTTTGGGAAGTGATGATGGCCTGGGGCACATGGAGAGGTGCAGTCCCCATGGATCAGCTCAGTCTGCTCTGTGCTGCCCAAACCAAGGTCTGAGCTCTGCTCCAAGAGCTTCTTCTTCCCTTTAGACACCTGGAAAAGGGGCTGGGGCTGTGTCTGCCTCAGTCCTGGGTTTGTCCCAGCCAGGGGAGCTGCCTGTGCTGGCAGGGATGGCACAGGGATGTGAGTGCACAGCAGGGGGCTCTTTAATATTCCCAAATCCATTAGCATAATGCCTTAGGATTCCTGTCAGCTTCCTGTGGAAAGGCCCAGAAACTGCAGCAGGGCTAGGACACTGCTTTCCCTCTGTCTCACAGAATCCCAGACTGGTTTGGGTGGGAAGGGACCTTAAATCCCATCCAGTGCCACCCCTGCCATGGGCAGGGACACCTTCCACCAGCCCAGGTTGCTCCAACCTGGCCTTGGACACTTGCAGGGATCCAGGGACAGCCACAGCTTCTCTGGGCAACCTGTGCCCACCTTCACAGGAAAAATGTGTTTTCTTGTGTTCAGACAGAATTTTATAGTGTTTAATTTGTGCCTCTGTCCTGTCAGTGCTGAGAGAATCCTGATTCCATCCCTGTCATTCCCTCCCCTCAGGAATTCATCCACATGGATGAGATCCTCCCCTATTAAAATGAAATTGTGGCTTGCAGAGTGCACTGTCCTGGGGCAGGGAGTTCTGTAATGAACTGCAGAGCCACAGTGACACAGAGTGCTCCCTCTGCTTCAAAAACCCACCATGTACCACATTTTTGGGGGGATTTTTCTCTTTCTGCCAGAAATGTCTTTGATGGTGAGACTGAGCCAGGAAAGGTTCATGTGCTGGGGTGACAGGGCAGGGCGTGGGAGGAGATGAACAGGGACTAAAATGGTGAACTATCCTGAAAAATCACTTTTTTAATTGTCAAACCCAAGGTAAGTCCTTTTTCCTGTTCGTGGCAAGAGGAAGATGAGCCCTTAAATTCTGCAGGGTTGTGCTTTGGGCACATCAGGGGCAATTTTGCTGCTCATGTGTGTCCTACACTGAAGGTCATCAGAACAATTCTGTGCTTGATCCTCCTGCTGCTGGAACAGGGAGGTGTCCAGGCTGGGCTGAACTCTGTGCTTACAGCAGTGTCCAGCACAAGCAGGAAAATGTCAGTTCTCCAGGAATAAGAGAACAGCTGGGGAGGGCACAGCTCTAACTGGTGGTCGGAGTAAACCCAGGAATTTTGCTTTTGTCCTTGTGGAAAGGACTGACTCATTGATAAGTGTCAGGGGAAGAAATGTGTTGTCAAATCACCTGCAGGGGGTAAAAGGAATGGAACACGGATCCTCTGAAGCTGTGGTGTGGATCTGTCACTCTCTGGGATTGTTGGGGAAGTTTGGGAAGTGAAATATGGACACTGCCTGCCCTGGGCAGAGAGGGAGTGGTGGGAGGGGGATGTGATGCTCTGAACAGACCAGAGGGATTCCAGGATACAGTGGGACAAGGTACCACACTCTGGCAGTGGGAAGCCATTCCCTGTGTCCTGTCCCTCCATGCCTTGTCCCCAGTCCCTCTCCAGCTCTCCTGGAGCCCCTTTAGGCCCTGCAAGGGGCTCTCAGCTCTCCCTGGAGCCTTCTCTTCTCCAGGGGAACCCCCCCAGCTCTCCCAGCCTGGCTCCAGAGCAGAGGGGCTCCAGCCCTGGAGCATCTCCATGGCCTCTGGACTCGCTTCAGCAGCTCCAATTTTCCTCCCTGCTGGGTTTAAGGCACCAGTGGAATTGTGAGGGGAGCAAATGAAGGGAGAACAGATGTTGTGTTATCTTAGCTGGGAGTTACTGAACCCACTGAACCAGTGTCTGTGCATTTGTGTGCAGGGAGGCCAGTCCAGGGTTTAATGAGGGAATGAGTTTCTGGCTGAGGACTCAGGAGTCACCTGAGCTTGTGGGCACCGTGTCTGCAGGTTTATTCATAACTCCAGGGGAGCTCCAGGTTTCTGACCCTGTAGGTCTGTTGTGTTACTATGGAAGGACAAGGACCTGATCCTGACTGAGCAGTGCCACTGGAATAGCTAAATCCAGTCTCCCTGTGGTGCTGAGGAGCCTGTCTGACTCCACAAGGACTTCTGTTTAAAAACAGGGACTCTGTTTCCTGGAGCTGATTCATCTCAGGTCTGTGTCACTCGTCAGCAGTGACCCTGAGCACAGGTCCATTGCCCTGCACCCCAGGAGGCTTTTGGGGGTAAAACACAGCCTCCTGCCCCCTCTCCCCTCCCACTTTAGCCCCAGTGCCATCTCAATCCCAGGCATTTGGGGAGCCCCCCTGGGAGCTGCCCTCTCCCAGGACCATCAGCCCCACTCCACTCCTGCCTCTGCTTCACACAGGAAAAGGATTCTTTTTGTAGGAGTGGGGCTCTTTTCCCTGCACAGCACTTTGACCCAGGGATGCTCCTGCAATCCATCCTCCCCTGTCCTGCACTGCTTTGGGCCCTGGCTGTGCAGGAGCTCCTAATGGAGCAGCTCCCAAATGGCTCCAGGTTTGTTCAGGACTGTTCATTTCCCACAGAGCAAACACATCTTTGGGCTGCAGCTGCACATGGTGTAGAATAAAGGCAGTGTTGCCTGGAATCATAAATCTCTGTGAGGCAGAGCAGAGGCACAAAAGGTGTTTGAGTGCTTTGCTCTGTGTGTCAGTGATGGAGAGGCCTTGGCTTCCTTTGCCACCTCTCTCAGGGCAGAAGACTCTTCCCTGTTTTCCCCTCAGACAGAGTGTAAGGCATTGCCTGCTGCAAACCACCAGTGGCTTTGAGCTGAAGGAGGGCAGGGATAGATGGGATATTGGGAAGAAATCCTTCCCCATGAGGGTGGGGAGGCCCTGGCCCAGGTTGCCCAGAGAAGCTGTGG